TTCATGTTTCTGAAGAAGGGTCTAGGCCCGAAACGTCAGCCTTCCTGCTCTTCTGATGCTGCTTGACCTGCTGTGTTCATCCAGCTCTACACCTTGTTATCTCAGATTCTCCAGCATCTGCACTTCCTACTATCTCAGTACTCAATGAATGGCAGGATACTAGGAAGCTCAGAGGAATGGAAAGATCTTGGGGTGCTAATCCTCAAATCCCGAAAAGTGGCAGGGCAAGTTAATAGGATGGTTAAAGAGGTATAAGGGACATTTGCCTTTATCAGTCAAGGCATAGATTATAGGAGCAGGGAACTTACTTGGACCTCTACAGGACTTTGGTAATGCTGCAGCTGGAGTACTGAGTGTAGTTCTGGTCACCTCACAATAGGATCAATGTAATTGCTGTGGAGGGGGTGCAGAAGAGGTTCATCATAATGTTTCCTGGGATCATAGAATCCCTACACTGTGGAAGCAGGCCATTCAGCTCATTGAGTCTGCCACAACCCTCTGAAGAGCATACCACCCAGACCCACTCTCCTATCTCATCCCTGTAACCCTGCATTTCCCATGGTTATTCCACCTAGCATGCATATCCCTGCATTTTAGCATGGCCAATCCACCTTATCCTGGAATGTGGGAGGAAACTACAGCCACCCAGAGGAAACCCACACAGACACAGGGCAAATGTGCAAAGTCCATACAGTTGCCCAAGGCTAGAATCAAACCTGGGTCCCTGACACCGTGAGGCAGCGGTGCTAACCACTGAACCACCGAACCACCATGCCACCCGCTGCCGGCTTGAAGCAGCTTCTCTATGAAGAGAGGCTGGATATCCTAAGGTTGTTTTCTTTGGAGCTGAGATTGTTGGGGTAACTGATAGAAGTATATATGATTGTGAGGGGCATGGACAGCGTGAATCAAAAGCTCCTTAGATGAAGGGTCAGTAACAAAAAGACATAATTTTAAGGTAAAAAGCAGGAGTTTTCGAGAGAAATTGAGAAAATTTGTTTTCACCCAGAGAGTGTTGGGGATCTGGAATGCACTGCCTGGGTGGGTAGTTGAGGCAGATATCCTCAAGCCTTTAAAGAGTACTTTAAGAGCTCTTTAAATGTTTTAATATTCAAGGATGTGGGCCTAGTGCTGGAAGGTGGGACTATTATAGATATGGTGTCACTTTAGCATTACAGACTCAATGGACCAAAGGGCCTGTTCTGTAATGCGTGATTCTATGATTTCCAAAGCTTTCACATTGATATCAAAAGAAAATAATTTATGAATTCGGGTCTGCTGCAGTTACCTTCTCCAGGTGAAAATGGCATCGGTTGTTCCTGTAAGTAGCTTGGACACCTTGATATGTGTCTGCTGACTGTTAACTGTCCAGTACCTACTGTGCCACAGTGGAATTTCCTTGTGAACCAAAATGAGAAGGGTTAGGCAAAAGCTTGATACATGGTTTTCAGGGCAAGCCTGTCTCCACAGAAAATGATTGAGGCCAAAACAGTGAATGTTTTCAAGGAGGAATTAGAATAAGTTCTTGGGGATAAAAGGATCAAAGGGTGTGGGAACAGTGCGATGATCAGCCATGAATTGGATGATCAGCCGTGATCATCTTGGATGGTGGATTGGGCTCAAAAGGCCGAATGTCCTACTCCTGCTCCTGTATGTTTCTATGTCTTAAAGTGGAAGAGAGAGGTGGAGCATCATTGCAGTTTAGGGAAAAAATTCCAGAGCCTATAACTAACGCCTCTGAAGGGACAGCAATGGTCAGGTAGGAGGAGAACTGCTACTTACCTGGATTTTGAAGAGTTCAATGGGGAGTGGATTGTAAATTTATAAATGGGAGAAGGTAAGGACTTAATCGATTGACAGGTCAGGGTGTAACCTTCAAAGTTAAGGAGTTGTAGAGTAGAGAGTTGGAGAGTTTAAGGTAGAAAATTCCAGAGTTTTTAAAGACATGATCACCAGTGGTGGAACAATGACAATAGGGTATACACATGAGGTGAAAACTAGTAGGAGCAGAGATATCTAGGTGGTTTATAGAACTGGTTGAACTTAGACGGATGGGGATGGAAGAAACCACAGAGGAACAAGGATGAGAATTTAAGCGTGAGATGAATAATAACCCTCCTTTCAGCATCATTATTTTCCCCTTGCTCCTCCTAATGTTTGAACACTTTTTTTTGAGATTGTCAATATACTGCCTATGGCTGTTTGCTTCAAGACTTTTTTAAATAAGAGCAGTCATGGGTTTAAGACAACAAGGTGCAGGGCTGGATGAACACAGCAGGACAAGCAGATCATGGGTTTAACACTGTTTTCTATACGTTTTATTTATTTTGTAGGTTATATTAAGACATGGCAACGAGTGCTGTTCCAAGTGATAATCTCCCCACGTACAAACTTGTGGTGGTGGGTGATGGTGGCGTTGGAAAAAGTGCTCTCACTATCCAATTCTTTCAGAAGATATTTGTGCCAGATTATGACCCAACCATTGAAGACTCTTACTTGAAACACACAGAAATCGATGGGCAGTGGGCCATTCTGGATGGTAAGTTTAATTAGAGGATTTTTTTTAAAATCCCGGTAACAAGTACCGTGTCCCACATTGCAGAAGGATTGTTGCCAAGCAATGGAATGCATTATGCACAGCAAAAGCTTTTTTGTTAAAGTTTAACCTAATTGTTTTTAGAATCCTTAATGTGGAAGCAGGCCATTTGACCCACTGAGTCCACACTGACCCTCTGAAGAGCATCCCATCCAGGCCCATCCCATTCCTATAATCCCACATTTTCCACGGCTAATCCACCTAGCCCTCTCATCCCTGGACAGTACAGGACAATTTAGCGTGGCCAATCCACCGATCCTGCACATCTTTGGACTGTGGAAGGAAACACGTGCAAGCACGGGGAGAATGTGCAGACTGCACACGGACAGACAGTCGCTCGAGGGTAGAATTGAACCCAGCTCCTGATGCTATGCTAATCACTGAGCCACTGTGATGCCCTAACATTTTATTTCAGAACTTTACCGAAAAGAAAAAGAACGTTGAGTAATGGTCCTTTTGATGAATGTTACATCGAGCATTGCAAACCTTTTCCCCTTCCGTACCATCACACCCGTCCCCACCCTACACCCAAAATCAAAATCCATCATTGTTGCAGAGAGTAAATAAGAATTGTCAAAAGTTGGGTTTTTTTCTCACTGTCAATTTAAAACCCTAGGTTTCTTAAGTTGTTTACAGTTTCAGTTTTAGCAGCAACAACTTGTACTAGTGCCTTGTAACATCACAAAGCTCTGAGAGGTGTTTCACAGGAGCTTTATGTTACATGACATTACTGAGCTAAATAAAGAGACTTTGGGACAGATTGCTAAAGGTTTAGTCAGAGGTAGGTTTTGACGAGTATCTTAAGGGAGGAAAAGGAAGTAGAGAGGCTTCAGCAGCATGTCCTGGTGTGTAGGGTTTACAGGCACCAGCACTAGGATTTAATCCATCTGGTTCACTAATGCCCTTTAGTGGAATGAATCTGCTCTCCTTATAGGGTCTGGGCTACATGTGGCTGACCCACAATGGTATGACTGACACTTAAACACCCTCTGAAATGGTAGGGCAAACCCCTCAGTTGAAGGTAGAAAATCAAATGGATAGTCATATCAGCAATTCAGACATCCCATGAAGGAATAAAGAAAGCAAATTCAAATGGAATGTTTACGTTTATCTCCGTCACATAGGATATAATTTGCAACTTTGCTAAGATCCGTTTTCAGCACTGTGGGAAGCTGAATGGAGTGACTCGAACTTTGCGTTCTGGGAAAGTGAACATGCATTTGAGAGACAGCAATGTGTCTGAAGGCTTGGGGGAGAAGCAGGCATAGTGCACAAAACTAGAAAATAACCAGGTGCCCCAGCGCAGCTCAGCGCAAGCTGGAAGAACAGCACCTCCTTTTTTTTTGCTTGGGAATTCTACGGTCTTCTGGACTTAATTTCAAGTTCAACAATTTTAGGGCTTGAGGCAACTTTTCCCATGTCCTTACCCCAACCCCCACACACCAGGCCTTGTTACCACATGGTCTGCTATTACACACTACCCATTGTCAGCCACTAATTGCCCACGATAGTAGCTATTCATCCTCCCAGGCTGATCGTTATCCACTCCTTTGACTGTCCAGCTGTTCTTCTCTCTTTGAGCTCAATCTCCACCTATTGTTTACTCCTTAACCCCTTCCCCCACTCTATCTTCTGCATATTTTCTAGCCACAATCAGTTTGGAAGAAGGGTCACTTGACCTGAAACTTTAACTCTGATTTCTTTCCACAGATGCTCCCAGAGCTGCTGAGCTTTTCCAGCAATGTATGTTTGTTTCTGGTGTAGAAGGTTTGAAAAATCCCAAATAATTTCAGGATAGTAAGGTCTCATTTCTTACACCTAGAACGTGGTAAAAATAGCAAGAGATTTAAAACAGGGGCTGGTGAATCAAAATGACAGACCACAATTATTACCACAGCTCACAAGTACATAGTTTTACAGATCTCAACAGCATGTGTCAAAACTTCTTTACATCTTCACTTTGTTTTTAGAAAATGACCTTTTTTAATGTAGGTTATCTAAAAACTGAAGTTGTATGTTAAAGTCAAACTCAAATGTTGAAATTTTCTCATTTTTTATGGCATAGTTTTCAGTGAGGTTCATAATAGCAGGTCCATCATGAACCCTCTCGACTTTCCTCACACAGTTGTCGGCTCATGAAATATCCATAGCATTGTGCGGCAGGAGAAGTATAAGTGTTCACTGCTGCCAGGGTTTTGCAATGTTGTTGTCCGATGTTGGCAACATATTTAAACACCAGCTTCGTAGCACTTCAGATTGTGTAAGCCAGGAACTGCCCTTCACTCTGTGGTCCTGTAATAATATCCTGAAGGAAATGGCCAAGGAGAGGAAGCGAACTCCTTGTTCCACCCACAGAGAGATGCTGGTGGATGGGGCGGTAGAAAAAAATTTTTTGTCTTTTTTTTTGTCAGCAGAGGGGCATAGATGTTTGCACCACCAGACCCAGCCAACCCACAACAAGATAGCGGTCTGGATCAGGGCAATGTCCTAGCAATAGCAATGCAAGGTTAATGATCTCCTGCTTTACATGAGAGAAGTGCCACCGTCTTCACTCCACTACACAGACTCTCAGGCCCAACACTCACTCAAATTCTGCCACTGTGTGCCCCCTTACCAAGGTTCATGGAGTTCAACCCCCATTATCGCATCCATCATGTTACCTAACAGCAAACACTTACCACATCCTCCTAATCTACTCACTCTTCCTGCCGTCTGTGTTTCCTGTTCAATCAGTGGGATCTCATCTCTTCTCCTGCTTATGTTTCACCACTAATATCTCTTACATCCACTACTATCATATTCAACCCTTCTTTCTGTCCTATTTCAGGAAAGATTGGCCCATCCCCAGACGGGAATCGGACAGACCCTTTGACTGACTGTGACTGTACCATTTGACTAATCTTGGTCTCCTTTGACCGCATAAAGAACTGGCTCCCTTTGATTTTCAGCTATCATTTGTTTGAAGTAAATGCAGGGTTGTGCTTACCTTGTGAACATTAGGCCCATGCTGTAATTGTGATACTGACATTGCCCAGTATCTTACACCAACATGTTCAACCCCTTGACTGGTCAATGCAATAAACCATAACAAGCTGTCTACTCTCTCCCTCAGTGCTGAAAGGCAATGCATGCCATAAAGGTTGGCAGCTTGCAAGCAAGCACAAAGTGAGTGAGCCCTAAGAAGATAAGCTAAGAGCCTGTGTAGATGCATGTGTGTCCCTGGGAGTAATGTGACCTGGCAGAAGCCTGTAAATCAGAAGTGTCCTTGAGCTCCAAAGTGAAATTCAATAGGGCCACGGCGCTATGTGAGTTGGTCTGAAAGCAGCAATGATGATGTTGTTTGGTGATGCTTATGTGTGTGGAAGAGGAGCTTGAAGAGGCATTGTAGTGAAGGAAGAGTTCTCTGAAATACTGCAGCGCAAGCAATGATCTGTTGCCAACAGGTAACAAGGTAGATTTTTGAGGAAGGGCTGGAGAATTGTGAACTGTGTAGAAATTAGGCGAGATTGGCTAATAATGGAATGCAAATTGCATTTAAATAAGGTAGTCACTGCTCATCAGCAAGATTCGGAATTTATCAGTTAAATCCTGGCCGAGAAACTGATTTTTCCATTCTTGCCATATTTCCCTGACATTCTCACCGTTGCCCACGTGGCTCAAATAACTGTAAAATTCTGGCTGAAGAATCTAGTTAATGTATTTGTACCCTGCCCCTGACTGTCACCATGTTATTAAAGTACATTAATTTGTGTATTAATGCCTATTTGGCATGTGTAATAGTCCAAAGCATGCCAAATTATACATCTAATCAGCTGTAATCAAATTTTATTTGTTGAAACAACCAAAACACACTCACGTGCATTCTTAATACAAAGAGAAAGTTAGAGTTCGCCTCAGTGTAATTCTCTGTTGAGTTGGGAGCTGAAAATTGTGTCATGGTGCCTGCATATTGTTTTTCTGATAACATTGCAGACTTTAAATCCGGCATACTATGTAGAAAATGCCAAGTACATGGTGACATGAATGCAAGGCATTCCTTTGGACACAATTTTACAATGTGCAAATCTGACAGTCTTGTTCCACTGAATTATTAAACCCAATCCCTCTCAAGAAATTACAGGACATAATTGTGGAGTATGATGTTAGGAAGAATTTTAGAAGTAGAATCTACTATGTATCTTTACTCCCAACCCCAGGCTTACAGAGGTGTTTTATTTTTCCTACCAGCTTTCCTTGTGCTTTTGCCAAGTATGATCATTAGTCTTCTGGCCCACTTGGCTGGAATGAGTGAGTAGAGCCTTGATGGAGGTTGTCCTAAGCTTTTGGAACCAGAGATAATATACTAATACCAACAGTCTAGGCTTGATCTGAACAAAAACACTAGAAATAAAAGAACAAAGTTCTGACCTTGTGAACTGTGCAGTTCAAATGCAAAACCTTAAATCCTGATCTCCATCCATTCTCAACAAATTATCTTATACACATGGTATTTTCTTTTTTTTTGTAGTTTCGAGGACTAGTGTAATTTTAATGGTGTAAAGAATGGTGGTAAATCGGCCATTTTCAATGTTGTTCTTTCGATATGGCAAACGGAAGAAAATAAAATTCAGGAAGTAGCGTGTTATTCATCATTTGGACTGTCTAACCCTGCTCGTGTGGCAACTTCTGTAAGGAATTGAAACGTTGAGCTTGTGTCCTGGCAACCTGCAATTCAGCTGTTTTTGTGCTTTGGTTAAAAGCCGAAGAAATACCAGGACTACTCAGTAACATCATGGCTGATCATGCTCTTTAAAAGTGAGACTGAAGACTAGGTGGGCTGAGTGGCCTTTTATAATTTACCAATATGTGATTCTACTTTTCCATTCTGTATCCCAAAGTGCCTTAATCTCCTGAAAATCAAATATATAAGATTTAAGGAAACAAACAAGGCCAACTAAAATTGT